GGTGTGACGGGGATTCGAACCCGCGACCCTCAGATTGCGAGTCGAGTGCCCAAACCACCTGGCCATGCCGGGCGTTAAAGTCTTAGTTCTACTAATATCCGAAATGCGAGACACAGAGCTTTCTGGGTTTCAAAATAACGACTAATAAGTCCTTATAACTTTTTTTTTGAGCTAACATTTATTCCAAACTTGTCGAAGTATTTAGAGAGTTTGTAGTACCAATATGTGATATTAAAACTGTTTCGTTGCGCATATCAACAACAGCTTTAATTTTTTTATTTGGTCATTCACTAAATTCTAATATAAAAAAACTAGTTTCAGTGAAAATTTCGATGTTCATGATATCAGGAAATTGGATATAATTACTAGATTAATCGTTTAATTAAACATTAAAATTTAATTGTACAATTAAGCTCCGTACTAGCAATGTAAAATGCATAGTTTGGGTACAGTCTAGAAAGTGTATTATTTTTAATGTATTTCCTTCAAAGGGCACATTTTTTGGTATTGCTGGACACTGAATATCATTGATCTTCTAATAATTACTTTAAAAATATCTGCTGTTTTGTTTTTTTTCTTTCAGGAGGGAGAAGACTCGGTTTAATCTGATCTAACTGTGCCCCGTCTGTCCACGAGAGTAAACATAAAGTAATCCTCTTTGTGCCAAAAGAATATGCGAATGAATAATAATTATAAATAGAAAAAATCGCTGCAAGGCTAGCAAGGTAATTTCTTTATATTGGGTTTCCTTCTAAGATTATTTAACTTATGAAGTTACGAAATATTCTCGTTTTTGTATAACTAATTTAAGTTTGAAAAAGTAATGAGAAAGTAACTCCTGTATTAATTAGTACCTTCATTCAATTTGTTAATTATCTGAGTGTACAAAAAAAAGGGAACGTGGACTGCAATCAGTTCTTTATAAGGTGATCCTGAAGATTATGGTAATTGTACAGTTAGTTAAAGATAATTAAGTTACAATAATAATTATGATAACATTACCTCTCCATTAAATTTATCTCTCGGTATTCAATATTTTCGTGATTGAATGCCTTGTTGGCGTATTCCACAAAAGCTGGCTGGATATCAACCCCAATAAGTTTCTTCAAATTGATACAATGTGGTAACAATATATCTCGAGTTATATTTCCTGGACCACAACCGAAATCTAAGATATTCTCTTCATTCGACCAAGTCATTCGTGCTTTATGAAAAGCCAGTTTTGAATTAATCCAGTCCAAATTCGTTTGTGGCCTCCTGGATAAAAACTGAGTTGCTAATGGATTCATGCTAAAATACGTTTTGATTCGGTTAGTTTCTGTGCTGTTATTCCAGTTTTATAATAAACAAATTTACATATTAGAAAGCCAACAACACTCTAAACTCTGAAATACATCTATTATTACAAACATTTCATTGAACCTGAAAACATATTGTATTGTTGTTTTGTTTTTAACTTCGTAATTTACAAGATATGAATTATTTTGAATGACTAAAAGTGGTAACAATAAGTTAAACTGACTTCTTTATTAAGGTTACATTATTAAATAAAGAGACGTAATGAAAATAAATCTACTTTATTGAGAAAACACTTAAAATAAATATATGTATGTTCTATATAGATACTTATATTAAGCTCTGTTAACTAACATGGTTCCTAACAGGTGATTATAAGATACAACATTGTAAGGGCCTGTCCAGTAGTGATACTATAAGAACTTTTATTTCAAAACAGTTTTGGTCTGAATCCTAAAATACTTTGTTTGTTTGTTTGCTTGGTTATTTGCTGTTAAGAACAAAGCTACACAAAGGGCTATCTGTTCTCATCCCACTGTAGTTATCGAAGCCCCATTTCTAACTTTACAAGCACACAAACTTACTGATTAGGCGACGAGGGGGAGGATCCTCAAATAGAAAACATTTCAAATTGGACAGTTGAACATGAACCAAGGAAAGTATACAAAAAAATTCACGATAATTCATTATGTATTTAAATAAATGTGAATGACACAAATATTTAAGCTTGATCATATTTATACGATATATAAATCGTATAAATCAGGTATCTTACTACTCTCCAAAAAGTAATATTTTACAGGCAATAATAAACGTTTTTCATTGAAGTATAAAATTCAGTCTCAGTTTCAATGCTTTTGTTTCTTCTACTGTAAAGTGTGAGCTCACTGATACGCATTTATGCTTTTTTTTCTTTTACTGTAAAATTTCAGGTAAATGATACATGTTTATGATTTGGTTTCTTCTTCTGTAAAGTATGATCTCACTGATAAGTGTTTATGATTTGGTTTCGTCAACTGTAAAGTATGATCTCACTGATAAGTGTTTATGATTTGGTTTCTTCTACTGTAAATTTGAGCTTACCGATACATGGTAATAAAGGAACACAGTTTCGTTTGTAGCAGTGTGTGAAAATCCACAGTAAATGGAACACACTAATAGAAGTATTGATATTTAAAAAACTAGTTTCGAAACATTTGTTCGTCCTCTTCAGTCTCACATCATCTGTCGGTAAAAAAACAACAAACTTGTAAACAACATCTCTGTTGCCCCAGAACTTCGAATTTCTTTAAGGGCACAGAAGGTCAAGAAGCTGATCAGCTTAAATTGACCGTTTAGAAGGTGTTGAAATTAGGCAGGCTTTTAATTAAGACACTTTCGACGATACAGTTTTTTATATAGTTATTGGTTTCTGTAAAAATAAAGTTATTCTTGGTTTCCGATCAACCTGATGGCCAGAATCTTTCATACGAAAAAAAAGGGGGACGTTATTAGCCTTTCCATAATTAATGTATTTTATGTGTGCGTGTATCAATAATTCTTCCAGTTTCCTTTATATAACCTTTTGAACAGGATTTCCGTGGTATAACTCCATATTGAAGTTAGTTTACTGTTAATAGTGTTCAGATATCTGTATGTATTTTTAAAGCTATTCTCTAGGGGTTCAGTATTTGTGTTGTAGCCAATATAAAAAGATTTCATATTATTGTTAGTTAATCTTTCTTTGTCTTTATAGGACAATGCTTTCTTTACTCTATAACGGCCCCCCAGTGGCACAGCGGTATGTCTGCGGACTTACAACGCTAGAAACCGGGTTTCGATACCCGTGGTGGGCAGAGCACAGATAGCCCTTGTGTAGCTTTGTGCATAATTAAAAAAAAACAAACAAACTCTATAACGGCAATTTGCAACGAAACGTTGTAGAATGTTGGAGTTCTTTGAAAATAGATAAGGTGTTTGTAATTTAATATTCAAGCATTGCTGAATGACATATTCTATGAACTCTGAGGCAAAATGAAGAAATACTAGATGTTCTAATCTGTTTATGGTAGTATGAAAACAATTTGTCGGTTTAAGGCTCATAGAGAGGACGGAGTTGTATGTTTTCTCTGGTTATCCAATAAATGAAGTTTGTTATCTTTTTCAACGTATCCTCTGGTGGCCCACTATGAACTATTACATTTCTGATGACACCATGGAAACTGACGTCTTCTCATGCCCTTTAACGACCTTAAGTGATATCGTCTGATCTTCATTTCCCAGCAATTTCCTACTGGATCGACACATTTGGACCGCCCCTAAACACTGTCAACTTGGAGCTTGAGAAGCCTATACCAACTGTATTTTTATGATTATCTAATTACATAGAAACTATCAATATATACAAAATTGTTTTTAACTATTATCCAGGCACTAAAATTACCAATTTACTATGTTGGATTTGATTGTTTTTCGTGATAGTTCCTGAACAATTATTATATTAAGAACTATTATTATTTAATAGATGTAGGAGGAACAAACTTTATCCTAAAATATATCGCATTTTGAAAATTTCTGATAACTTTTGACAGTTTTTAAACATCGTCTTCAAGCACGTAGTGTGAAGTTGCATTAACTGTTTTAATAATTTGAAAAGATAAGTGTTATACATAACATACCCTGGAAAGCTTACTTTAGTACAAACGACGATGAAACAAAAGATTTTACTTTATTTTTTTTTACACTCCTCAATAATTTCAAAATGGCGGCTTTTAAGCGCAGCATCCTAAGGCGTCTTGTGACTCGCGAAACGAAAAGAAAAATCCATAACCGCGCTATATAATGGCGTATAGTAAAATCATATAACAATTTCTAGAAAAAAAACATAAACTCGTTGTTTTTGTGTTGTTTTTCACAACGAATTATTTGAACAAGTATAGGAACAATTTCACAGTTTTGAACTTTTATATGAGTAAGTTTTTACAATAATTACAAGATATGTTTGAAACCAACCTAAGTACTTAATATCTAAAAACTAATAATTATAGAAAATAGTCATTAATTTCCATTCTTCGACAAAGTCAGTGGTTATATGATATGTTTCAAATCAATGTAACGATTCAATACTTGGAGCATTATCGAACATTTATAGAGCATGAAGGACTGTAAACATTACAAATATCTGTTATAAGTTAGAAGTTATTATGATATCATTGATACTATATCAAAGATATAACAGAAACCCTATCAAATATGATTCCAGATAGAATGCTACTCCTACCTTTTACACCTAGTGAGCCTTGAGGATTTTCAGAAGAGTTGTTCCTGATGAGAAAGCTACACGCTCGTGAAATCTGACTCTCGTCCTAATTTGCTGACTACGTCACTAAATCATATCATGTTCTGATAATAAAATCATGTGATCACCACATGCAGTAACGTTTCAGTTTACAATAGCAGTGGTTATCGTCTTTATCGGCAAATGTTTGACTGAAGATATCGACTGATGGACACTTTTATTTATGAAAATAGTAACAAAGAGAGTCACGTGAGTTAACAATCACAGTACCAGCTAGGTCCAGTGTTTCTATTATAAATAAAATTTTAAATCTATTTCGAGGAGTATAAAAAATTTAAAAAGTTTTTACGAAGTATCGAAATTCAAAATGGCTGACCATAAAATAAATGTTATCACTACAAACCATAAGCTATTCTTTGATGGTTATTCATATACACATCTTTCGTAAGCAGTATCTCGTTCATAGCTAATTATCACCAGTAGAGATGTTTCTGTTGCAATGCTAAGACTACTGGTTACGTATTAATGATACTGTTAAGTTTTGTTATACGTCATGTATACTTTAGGTTGTGTCAGTGCTATGTAAAGTTTTTATAAACAAATATAAAACTTATTTGGTTTGGTTTTTATAGTTGAGCATTCAACGAGATTGATAACAGAGATATTTCTTTCATTTCTTTATTTTATAGCAAAGACACATTAGGCTATCTGCTGTGTCCACCGCGAAGAAACGAAACTCCTTTAATATCCTTTAAATTTTAATGAGATCTAGTAAAAGAACTAACCCTAACTTTACAAAGGGTTTTAGTGGTTATATACGATAAGCATCTTATTCAAAATATGTAACTCAAACTATCTCACTATACCATACACTCACCAAAAGTACAAAACACACACAAAAACAAACAGCAGGCCAGGCAAGTGTATGTAGAAGTATTGAGATGAATGTTCATGAACTCCTTTCAACACAAAAATACTGAATACACCAATGAAATTACTTCGGTTGTTTTTTTCAACGAGAACATCTATGTAAATTTCTTTTATATACGTCTTGTTTTTAATTGGAAAACGTGTTTTTTTTTCAGCCATGCAACGTCGTCCTAACGTTACTCTGCAGAATATTTGGTCGATGTTAAAAAAATATGATTTCTTAAGATCAGTTTGATATATTTCTTGGACCCGGATTTGCTGATGTTTTTTCTAATTTTTTTAAACAATCCATTAACCAAACTACATGTGGGCCCATGATTGTGTTTGTTGTTAAACACAAATCTATACAGTGGGCTATCTCTGCTATCCCCACAGCGAGTATAAGCCCTCATTCTTATCCCTGAGCCACCGAGAGGTCAATAACATACGAATCACACAAAAAATGTGGTCAAAAATATTGTCTGTACTGGAATTAATCCCAATAATTACTGTCGGGATTTCCTATGTATTTGGCATGAAAATGAGCGATTTCACCCAGTTCTTCAAACTGAAAGATGTAAATGTCAAAATAAATAAAATTATTCAATATGATGCTATATGTAAATTCCACCCAGAATGCTTTTTCACAAAATTCGACCGAATTTAAGTATTAGCGACAATATTTTGTGTTAGAAACTAGAGGGAGCCTTATTTTTATTAAGAAGCCCCTCCCATCCCCAATGGCACAACGTTAAGTCTGGAGGCTTATAACACTAAAACATGGTTTCGATATTCGTGGTGGACACAA